CAAATAAAATTAGACTCATTTCATATATTTATTCATATTAATTAGTTTAAATCTTATATTAAAATTTTGTTCCGAAAAAAAAAGATTATGGTGTTTTTTTTTGTTGTTTAAAACAAATATTCGGATATCCGCAAATATCGAGAAAAAAATTCGGATATTTGTAATCCCGAATATCCAAAATTTTCCAAAACAAAACAAATCAGAAAATTAGATATCCATCAAAAATAAATTGAATCATAAATATTGTATTTTTTCCAGATATCCAATCCGTACACATGCCTAGTCACCAGCACATTTTAATTATATATAGTCGTTAAATGATTATACGTGACTGTGACTATACAATCTCTACACATGTCCCATATATAGCCATTAATATCACGAGATTCGTCAACAATAATAATTATGTTCAACCACAAATGTCATAGGAGGGGGGCCAAATAAATTTTCAAAATCGTTTTTTCTATAGTTGAGTACGTTTGATATGACAACAATTTTGGGGTTTTGTTTATTTGTGTACTATTGAATTAAAAGTTGATATATAGGGAGATAAGGACCAAATTGATTAGACGTTCTACGAGGGTCTTCTGTTTATTTTTGGCTTTTGATTGTGTCCATCGCTTTTGTGGACCAATTCGTGTTTTCTTGTATACTTATAGTACATGTTCAATATTCGAACTATTAAACGACTTGGTTATTTGGTTATAGTGAGTTAAGAACTTTTTTTGGGTTATGTTCGCTCGAAAGTGAAAACATTTGTTTTTTTTTTTTGTTACCACTACATTTTTTTTTGGGTACTCTTGGTTTTTTAAGACTAGAAATTATAAAGATATATTAGTCTTTTCATGTTAAAGACATTTTATTTCTGTCGTTCATTGGTAAAGAAGAAATCATCTAGCTAGCCACATATAACAAGGGTAAAAAAGCAAGAAAAAAATTAAAATAAGGGGCAATTACAAAAATGCCACTTTTTGTGTTCATATTTGCAAAAATGCCATTTAGAAATGTCTATTTACAAAAATACCACTAATTATAGATTTATAAAGCCTATATCTTAAAATTCTAAACCTTAAAAAATTTTGACACCTAAAACCCCCTAAACACTCAAAACTAAATCCTAATAGAACATAATTAACCCAAACATAAATAATATAAAGAAAAAATAATTTTGAAAAAATGGTATTTTTGTAAAGATTTCAAAAGTGTGGTATTTTTGTAAAGTGACACTTGAAAAGTGGTATATTTTGAAATTTATCTTAAAAAACAAATGACATATGTAATTTTAAGAAATATCTTAACGTAATGTTGTATTCTCATAATTTCCCATTGGAGTTTTTTGGCTTAAATTACTACTTTTGGAATTAATTCCACAGTTTTATTTGAAATTTAAATATTTATATTTGTAGTAATTTTTGTCGTAAATTACAAAAAGTATATTTGATATTTTTCTCATAAATTCTCCTAATAATGTTGTTTTTATTAGTGACACGAACACGTTATTAGCCGTAGGCGACCCAACTAAGCTAATGGTAATGACTCGCATCACACGAATAGATCAATCCCAACCAAACCTAGAGTTTAGAGGAATATTAAATTTGTAGTTATGCCAGAAAAAGGAATAAAAATATGTCAATATCATGGAGCAGCCCACATATTCTAATCTTAGGCGGCTATAATAACTAAATAAACCAATCAAAGAAAATGTGATTTGGATAATTTTTAGCTAAATGTCATTATCACCATGAATCATCCAAACCGATATGTTGATGAGACTATTACTCTATGATTCCTCGTATTACTCTATGATTCCTCGTTATGCATGCACACACTTACACGTTATTATAAATATATAACGAAATGGTTTACCAAATACTAGCGAATTGTCTCATTACCAAATATTTTTACATACAATATAAGATAAAAGGGTAGCC